TTTTTTTTTTTTTTTTTCTCTACAGTCTATCAACACGTACAATTTGTGATCGAAGTAAATAGTAGAATTAGGAAGTATGCAAGAGACTTCATTGAAGAGCATCGTCAACTTAATTGAAGCTGACAAAAACAAAGCAAATTAAATGTGTGTGTGTGTGAGAAATATCAGAAAAAACATGGTTTTAAGCAGATGAACTAGTGATTAACTTCCCTTTTAACATTTTTAGTTGCTTTATTTCTCATTCGAAAGAAAACAAAAGGAGAGAGTGAGAGGTGAAAGAAGATGGAAACCGCAGTTCCATTTATAGCGATGGTAGTTCAGCAATTAGCACAAATTGGATCTATGGTGGCAGCTAAAGTGGCTATGTCAAGTGGGATGACTCCTTTCACTTTTACTTTCTACTCAAGTGCCTTTTCAACTCTCATTCTTATTCCACTGTCCTTCCTGCTCCATAGGTATCTTTTTCTACATCATTTCATACGAGTTGGGTCAAACTTAAACAAATACAAGCCAAATTATATATTATGATACAATTCAATTCGTCCAAGCTCTACTTGGATTTAAATGGATTAATATCGGATGGGTCAAATAATGGGTCCTAACTCAGCAAATCCAACATGTCCCATTTCCTTCTGAACACAATTAATGTGAAAGCTATTTATATTTTAAAATTTATTGGCTTAAGCTTTTCTAAATTTACATTATTTTCAATTTCCAAATTTGACTAGTTGGGTTACAGTACTATTTGATATGTTTTGACGTAATAGTTTTATGAATCATTTCGAGTTCAATTCGTTGGGCTAAACAAATAAAAGGATCAATCTCAATTCGTTTAAACTTTGACGACTTGAATGGATTACTAAAACATGACTGATTTTGCCACCTCTAAGTAGATTCATTTTTGCGGGAAATGAACTCCTTGTTTCATACTCTTTATTTATTTGTTCTTTTTTTTTTTTTTTTTTGTATATGCAGATCAGCTCTTCCACCTCTTTGGCCAACCTTTCTTTATGGATTTTTCTTGCTTGGCCTAACGGGGTATGTAAATTTGTGCCTCATTTCAACAAATCTATTAGAGAGGAAATGACTATTAATGGTGCAATATTGTAGTTTCTTGATGCAAGTGCTTGGAATTCTTGGACTTCAATATTCCTCTTCATTACTTTCCACAGCAATATTACAACTAATTCCAGGTTTCACCTACATTCTTGCCGTCATTCTCAGGTTTAAAACTCACCTTTCCTTTTAACCAATTAATTACAATGTTTCTATAGTATTAAACTTGTCCAAATTCTATATAAATATTCAAATTTTGTGGTGTTCTTCACAAGTTTTCTTTTTTGTAGGATGGAAAACTTTGACTACAAGAGTTTGAACACAATGGCTAAATCTGTTGGGACATTGGTATCAATAATAGGTGCAATTGTTGCAACTCTATATAAAGGTCCTCAAGTTTTTGGAAGCCCTTTGAATTCAATATTAGCAGCTCCTTCTCATTTTCTACTCAACCAATCTTCTGCTTGGGTAATTGGGGGTTTGCTTATGATGATTACCTCTCTAATAGCTTCAGTATTTATCATTTCAAAGGTAATTAATTAATATTACCAAGAAATGTGCTTTCCTTAATAGACTTTAAAGTGAAATGATCAATTTTTCCTTTGTTTCATGTTTTGCAATTGCAGGCATTTGTCCTTAAGAAATACCCGGCAGAGTTGATTGTAATGTTGTTTTATAGCAGCTGTATTACAATTTTGTGTGCTGCTTTCTCTTTAATTACTGAAAAAGACTTGAATTCTTGGAGCGTACGCCCTCTTAGCAGATTAAAGGCTCTCGTATACTCGGTAATTAAGTAGATATATATATATGTTCCTTGATGCATGAATATGTACATTTAATTTACCATTATATGTGAATTGCTTGAAAGTAAAATACATCAAATTTGGAGGGTCAAAGAGTTTTAGTAAACGTATTTTATGGGGGGGAATGTGAATGAATTAACCCCCAAATACTCGAGTCAAAGATTTCTATGTTTATATTTCTAAATTAAGAGTTTTATTTAGTTTCAAAATTCTTGCATAGATTAGGAGTTTTGCCTCATTTAGAATTCTTGTATTGATTAGGAGTTTTGCGGCTTCGGCGTAATTTAGGAGTTAAAATATAATGGATATATCCTCGCATATTTGTTATGCTAATGTTTTTTTTGGGAGATGTAAAGTTGCAAATCACACTAGACTAGTTTGGTGCGGCGAGCTCTAACTTAAAAGGTTGTTAGTGAGGTGAATCGATCATAGATCTCCCCTATAGGAAACCATTCACTCAACCAACTCTTGCGGGCTGTTATGATTATCAGTGGCATACGCAGAATTTTTCATAAGTGGCGTCACTATTTTAAGAGGTGAACAAATAAATAAATTATTATAATAATATCATATTAAAAAGTAACAAAATTTAAATCATATTAATAAAACACAACTCAAGTATATCATTGAACTCTTTATGAAGCTTTCATTTTTGAAATGTATTCAAAATAACCTGATTAGAAATAATACTAAATTTTGTTACTTTTTATAGAAGGCAGGCAAAAAGCCTTCGAAATCAAGGAAATGAAGCTAGGAATACTCGAACCTTGGCTTTCCGCAAGAAAATGAACGCCTGACCAAGAGAACTACTTAGGTTTTTGTGCCAAGGGGTGTCACTATACTATATTTATACAATTGTTATTTTTGTATTTTAATTATATATACTTATTTAGTAAACTTTTTTGACGAAACGGTGTCGCACGACACGGCTTGGTGTAAAGATAAATTCGCCCCCGATGATAATGATGTCATGCAGTAAAATGTAAAAATCAATCAATTTATTAATAACACTAACCTTTATATGAAAATTATTTTTTTCCGTTCTACAGACCAAACAGCACCTAAATATTTGTATACACCATTACCATCTAAAATTAAATTCTCCTTTATAAGGAGCGTGAAATTTTGATGCAAATTCAAGTCATTGAGTTTGGAAAGAAAAAGAAAAAAAAAACATTTTGAACTCCGTACAATCACGGATCAAAATAGAGAAATTATTTTTTCTTGTAATAAAAAAAAATATAAAGGCAATAAAGTAAACCAATAGTACCCCAAAGGTATACCTTTCTATCATCTACACGAGTCCCTACACACCGGCAATTTCCTTGAACTGTCCCTATTGGTCAGTTTCCACTCATTTACCCCTCTTAACTTTTTCGAAATGTATTATCGACTCTAACATCATTATTGCTGGATTGATCCATTGTTGCTAGACTCACAAGTTCAGAAAAGGTTGTGAAATCAACAAAGAATTGTCAAGGCTTGAGCATAATGAAGATCAAATTATACAAAAGATTTTGATTGTCGATTTGGATCACTACTGAAAAAAGGGAACGGCTGCCATAATTTTGGTTTGAATAAGATGAAAAAAATGGTCTTTTTCTTGTCTTGTGAGGTGGGCCATAAGAACAAAAAAATGGAAAAGGTGGAGAAGATGATAGAGACGGCTTGATTTTGAGAGAGGGGGAGAGATGAATGGTTAGGTCTAAGGCTTTTTTTTTTTTTTATGTTATGTAACATCTAATAATAATAAAGTGATCACCATAGGGGTTTTTTTTTTTTTTTTTTTTTTTTTACAAAACAAAAGAGAAATCTTGTGAAAGAAAAGGAGAAAATTGACATATTAGGAAGGTGGCTATAAATCTGAAGTAAAATTACCGTATGACTATTAAGTGTAATAAAATGAGATTAGGTTTATTATAAGTTTATTTTTAATATGGGCTGCTAATTCCGTTAATTGATATAAGCGAACATTTATCATAATATTTGCCTATTAGGCCCAAAAGTGTTATCCAATCTACCTATTCGTTAATATTCCTTTCCTCTTTAATTTGTCCGTACCCAGCATACCATCACTTCAACAATATACATTTTTGCAGTAGTATACTGCAAGAACATATATAATATATTGCAGCAGTATACTGTAATAATATACTAGTATATAATATACTATAATAATAAACTTCAATTGCTATAGCTGAATCATTTGAGTGCTATTTGTTAGTCCCGCAAATATTGTTATATTTGTAAATAATAATTCCGAGAATTTAATGAAACAATAATTAATTCGAGCCCACTGTATCGTAATGAAACAATAATTAATTCGAGCCCACTGAATTCACAGTATTTCCTTAAGGAATTTAATCCCCTCCTAGTACCCAAGGTTATGGATTATTTCCTCCCAGGATAGAACGAATCACACACTGGTGTAGCGGTACTTCAAACCCCAGTGTTTCAGCGAACACAAAGTTCGGTAGCAAATCACACTTACAGTTGCTTTGTTTGAAATTAAAACAATGCAGAACAAAGGAGTAGAAACTCAGAAAATCGTATGGAAATGCTGAGAGAAAGGAGTGCAATGTATAGCCAAAGTTGAGCGTTTTCAGTTTGGTGTGTCTTTCTTCAACAGCTGCTGCACATATTTATAGCAGTCAGCTTTGAAGATGAACGACCCTCCACCCTCCATGGTGGAGCATGCACTAGCTTGTTTGTGGAGCAAGTACTTGGCCATGGTGGGAAGAGCATTAGGCGGCTGATATTGCAGCTGATGGTCAATACACGGATTGGAACATATCCGTTACAAATGCGGATAATCTTACGTTAATATTTACTATTAACAAATAAATTTGGTCCAAAAAATTAATCAATCAATCGATCATTTGACCAAATCCAAATGAATCCGAAGCCGAAGCCAAAGCCGATCCGAAGCCGAAGCCAAAGCCGAGCCGAGCAGAGCGAACGAGCGACGACGACGGCGCGAGGCTTGCTTTCTTCTTAACTCTTTAAGAGCTACAAGAAAACCAATTATATATATACCCACCAAAAATCTTTTCCTTTTCCAATATGGTACAATGTCTCATTGTCAAGAGGGAGAAACTTAAAATTTTACTCAAAAATTTCATTTTTCCCTCCATTTTCCATTCACCCTCATTTTAA